TAAGAAAAGGAATATTTTTATCTAATTTAGAAAAAAATTTTTGGTACCAGGAATCGAACTCAGGACCTCGCCCTTGCCAGGCAGGTGCTATGCCACTGAGCTATAACCTTGACCTAGAAAAATTTTAAGGATTAATTCCAAATGTAAATTTAAGGAGGGAAATACAAAGAAAGAAAGGAACCAGTAAATGGTGGAGAGAAATGCAAAGAAAGTCACGGATGTTTTTTGTATATTTTTGGGGAAGGAAAGTTAGAATGAGAAAAATAATTTTTTGTATATAGGAGAAAGAATTTGTGTGATTGAATGAATTTTCTCCCTGAAGTACTACGGTTTGATTTTTCCAGAATGGGAAGAAAGAAACAGAGCAAAACTAAAGGATTGAGCAGGTAGCAAGAGCTCTCAGACCATTGTAGGTCTCTGAAGGAAAAATCTTATGAAAGAAAATGTGTGTGGGGGCTGGGGATTTAGCTCAGGGGCAGAGCGCCTGCCTGGCAAGCGCAAGGTCGTGAGTTCGGTTCCCGGTACCAGAGAAAAAAAAAAAAAAAAAAAGAAAATGTGTGTGTGCAAGTTATCTATAATTAGAAGGAAATTACAGGCTTTTCTAAAAATTGAACATTAATACGTTGATATAGAACCAGAGTCTAACTCTATGTTTAAAGCAGCAAAGGTTTTGTGATTTTAATAAAGATTTGGAAGTAGGCAGTCGCAGTAGCAGGCTTCTGTGGTCTCAAGGTGGGGAGCAGGAGTTAAAGGCCAGCCTTGGCAACTTAGTAGAACTCCATCTCAGGAAAATTTGCAAGAGGTTTTGATTTTTAATTCTGAAATCTTCTACAGAAGATTTCAAACAGCTGCCCTGCAGCTTTTCCTGTTTTCCACTTTCTGTTTAATCAGTGACTCTCTCTCAAGTTTTTAGTCAGTTATCACATATTTTCTCCCTAGTTCTAACTCTGCTAGTGAAGTCTGACACTGAAAATGTTTATCTTAAAAGCCTACCCTAGAAATAAATGGCAAGCAGGTTTACAGGACCACCAAAAGAAGTCTTTATTTTAAGTTGTGTGGCAGCACAAGGGTGTCAGTACCCTGCAAGGAGTCCTCCTAGACTAACCTGAAAAGTGGTTGGGGAGTGCCCCTTATGCAGGAGCTGCAGGCCTGTGACAGTGAGAGGCAGGACTGAAGCCAGGGAATCTTCTGGAAGGTTTGCTGTGGGTGCTGGGATATTAACAATGGGCCCAGGTCCCCTCCCCCATCTTATGCATGCCAGGGTGTCCACTCCCTTCTTCAAAAAGGTAACAGTAGATTCTGAAGTGGCAGGAGCAGGTGGCAGGCACCAGGCTGACAGCCTGGCTGCACTCATGTTGGAGTGGGAAGTGGCAGCTGGATAGCCAGAAAGAACATAATCAAGAGAACACCGAAGCAAGTCGTCCCAGTCTATTGGTGGGGAAGACAAGGAGTAGCAAATGCAAGTGACAGGGAGAGGAATGATAGCCACTGGCCAAGCCATATGCCCCCTCCAGCCAGGTTGGGAGAAAATGGGAAAGCCAGGTGCTTCTCACCTGACTCAATATCAAGGCATTAACCAGGGCAGGTTCTCCTTGTCTCATAAACAACATCTTCCTCATGTCTTCACGTGGTCTTCTCTGTGTGTGTGTGTCTGTGTCCTAATGTCCTGTCCTTATAAAGACAGTGGTCATATCAGACAGAGTATACCTCTGTGTCTCCACTGTAAGTTAATCTTCAGTTTCGCTCTTGCTCTTTTCAAAACCCTATATTCAAACACTGTCACATTCTGAAGTTGTGTTGTTTTATCAGATTTCTATCACTGAAAAAAGTTACCCCACTCTTGCAATGTAAAGAAGAAGAGGTTTATTTTGATTCATGGTTTTAGAGGGTTCAGTCCATTGTTGGCTGCCTCTAAAACAGAAACAGCATAGTGGAAAGGTATAATAGAGGAAAGCAGTTCAACCCATGGCAGTTAGAAAGCAGAGAGAGAAGAAAGGAGGTGTGGATAAGAATACACCATTTCAGGACACATCCCAGTGACCTACCTCTTATAGCCAGGCCCCAGGTCCTAGCAGCACATTCAGCTATGGA